ATAAAAGGTCAGATCGCTTCTAGGCTATTTTGCTAAGATCAAAGTGTAGTATCTTTTCCCGACTTTTCAACCGTTTGGCTCTGAAATTGTGAAATGGTATAGGTTTGACGCCCCTATCGACATGATTAGGTTATTTAAGAGGCAGGACCTCCGAGTTAAACGCCCATCTCCGCGTCCATCTCCGAAAGGACCGAGCCAAGTGGGGAATTTGCGTAAAGTGCCTTTCCTTTCTCAGAGGCACAACACCGGACCGAGCTAAGTCTCGAACCCCCAAACCCACGGTTACGACTTCGTAACCACTTGGCTACCGACGCCACTCTTTGGGCTGTATTTTACACGGGAGTGATACTACCAGAAGCTGAAACTTTAGTTTTAACTACATCTAGTGGACGAAATCGTCCTCTTAAAAAGAAATAAAACATAAAAGGTGAAACAGACTTGAGGTACCCGTCGATTGCCGTGAGAACAAATGTTTTTTCCCTTCTGTTAGCGCTAGTAATTTATGCACGTCCTTTCCTTAGCCCAGTGCTTGTCAACGTCTTCCTAACCAGCACCCACTTTTGTCACCGTTGAGAGGTGAAACTTTTCGTGCCGACCGACCGCCTGCATGTAGGCCTAGAGAGTGTACTTCCAAGCGGGGCATTAAAAATAACATCTGCCACTACACGGGTGATCCTCACCGACCATCAAAATTAGCAAATCGCCCATTAGTGGGAGATATTGCCCAGGTTAACAAGCGACTGACTACGCCTAATACATAATGTTTGAATCTGATTTGTCTTTTTCCAATGCCGGTCTCTGAATCTAGTATCAGTCACTTCCGTCGCAATATGACGATTGCTTACTGTAGTATATCCGGACTTTTAAAATATTTCTTTTTCGCGCACTCCTTGATTTTGCGGTTTTCGCAATTTTAAAAGAAATTCGAGAATTCAAGTCTTTCGTGAAATGTAAAAAGGGACGTTAAGGCATTGGGCAATATGACACTGGGCGGCTCATGAATTCAAATTGTTCGCAAAAAGCGAAATAAAAAAAAAATTGTGCGAAATAAGCTCAGTGTGCAGTATACAGATCGGCGGCGCAACAGTAAATTGCTTACAAATTAGTGCCGCTATTATTGCTAATCATTGCAGCGATGGGTGGCTGGCAAATAATAAGAGGCGTACTTATGGCTTGCAAAAAATGCTTTCATGCGAATAAAAAGGCATCGCAACCGATTCTAAGTGATAGGCTATGATGAAGCTGTTGCTTGTAAACAACGTATTAATTGCCTTTTTAACTAACGACTGGACAATCAAGTTGTATTATGGGACTTCTCGTCCCAGCTCACTGGCTGGACAGGTTAGTGCACGTGGCACGAGCTGGATCGTTTACCTTGTTACGAAGTTTTGATGGAGAGGAAATCATGACCTTGAGAGACACACAGCTGTGCTTCTCTCTCTCTCTCTCTCTCTCTCTCTCTCTCTCTCTCTCTATCTCGATCAGTCGGAGGGAAATAGATTCAATGTCTCTCGATCTATCCGACGGGGGCGTCCGGATTTGTAGAGGAGTGCCTGACTGCTTGTGCACGTCCGCCCAGTTTGTCGAAGGTAGGTATTTCTTTGTTGAAGGGAGAGATTAAGAGACATTGCAACAATCTACTGAGAAGAAACAGCCCACATCAATTTTTGAGTAGGGGGGGGGGGGGGGGGGG